TCAGATCTACAATCATCTGCTACCCCCGGCATTGATTTCGTCACCTCAACCAGCCTCTACTAGCATCGCCAGCGACGGCGATATGATGTTGCAAGGTAATTTTTTTCTTCGTGAAAATAGATTTCTGTAAATAAATCGATTGTTCTTTTTTCCCCTGAAAAACGATTCTTTTTTCCCTAGAACTCGATTATCAGTGCTCGATTTTTATTTTCTTTGTATTTCATGTCTGGTTATGTACTGGATCATTATATGATATATGTATATGAATATTTTTTGAAATCTTAAGATAGGAGATGATAATTTTGTTGGTTAATATTGTAGATTTTACTTTTAGTAAAGAGAACAACCAATTGGTTGGTGAATTGGAAATAGAACACAAAGATACCTATGTTTGGTGATAGACTTGATATGTAGTTGGTGATGTTTCCATGAATTCAATGGTTTCATAGAAAACTTTTTTTTTCTTTTTTTTTTCTTGAATCAGATGTGGAGTATAGTTTTATGCAAATGCTGAATATAAATGCTATTTTTCAGATTTTGTATGACTGAAATTTGATATGCGTAGCTAAAATTTGTTGTTGAACTTTGTTGATTTGTTCTATTTTATTGAAAATGTGTTTGTAGTTGCTAATACAAGTTGCTGATTTTGTTAATTTGCTGAAATCGATTGCTAATATTACTGTAATGTGCTAAATTTTTTTGTTGAAATCTATTGTTAAGTGACTAGTGAATAGAAGTTGATGGTGTCGTGAAGGCTGCGATGATGATGATAAAGGTCGATGACACGTGGGTGCCCGGTAATGGTGTATGATGGTAGCGTGTAATGAAGAGGGTGATGGGTTGTTGCATGTTAATGGTGAAGATATCCTCTTCGTGTGTGTTTTTATAGATTAACAACATTTTTTCATTTATATGTTCAAGAACCAAAAAGATCATATGCATTATATCATGTAAACCTTGTATGGGGTGTGATGTTGACGAAATTATTGGCCGAAAATTGTAATGTAATATTCGGTGTCAATTATGAGCCTAAAATACTCAAGAGATCAAATATGAGTTTTTCTTAAAATAAAATTTCTCCAATAGATACATACTCATGGATCTAACATGCTCGGATGAAAACTCTATACTTTGAAACTGATTTTCTACTGGGTTTTTTGTATTAGGTAGTTTGATTTCGCTTATCTCTGTTTAATTTCGCTTCGTTTTTGCACAAGTTCTGGAAAAGGTTGTAGGGGGTGTATAGAACACGCTACGAAATCTTTTGTTCCTTTCAAGGATAAACTTTTGGTTTATGGAATGAAAGAAATTCTTCATTTGCCGTTGCTACCACCTAATTTTAGGTAGTTTTGTAATTTTTTTTTTTCCATAACCATCGTCTAATTTCAGAATCTACAACTGAAATTGTTTTTTTTTTTTTGTCCTCTTACAGACACAAATTCTGTTTTTCATATGGAGTATTGGACTCGCATCTCAGATTTTCTCATGTGCTTTTGACTTCCCCTATCACTTGTATTTGTTCATCACGTTCTTTTCCCTTTCAGTTCACATTTTTATAATTTATATGATTTGTTTATGTTTTCAAGGTTTCTTTTCTTTCTTACTTTTCTATTGGGTGTTGGGTGTTCATAGCAATAAGAAGCATGTCGATATCCCTTTTTATTTGACAAAATCACAATCAGATCCTTATGTGATTTATGTTCAAAATTGTAATGGAGACGTCAAAGAAGTCAATTGGAAATACTACAATGGCGATGCATGTCGTCATGCATTTAAAGTGTAATTTATTTAATCATTTTTCATTAAAAGGGCATATTGTGCATTTAAAGGATAATTTATGTAACTCTCGGTATTTATCCTGACATTTTGTGGCAATAAAAGCGAAATATCTATCATTTCTTGAAGGATTTATTGTACATATGTTTAAATATGTTTGTGGTTGTGTGTGTGTGTGTTTTTAGGGACTGATATGTGTTGTAGATTTCATCATAAGGATGCAAGTATAACAAATGCTTCATTATATATACTTCCTTATTTTTTAATGGTAATGACTAAAGCTTCTATATTTTTTTTGTATGTATGGTTTCTTTATAAAGATGTTGACTGTATACAAGCGTATTTTGATAACTTGCAAACTTTGTAATTTTACTTGGGATTTAAAACTTAGGATTTCACGAAAAAAAACAACTTTGATTAGAAAAATATTCTTTTAATTATTTTTTTTATAAAAAAGTTGTAGTGTATTTGAACCCATTCCTTTCATTGGTTAGATAAAAATACTGAATTCTTACAATGCTAAAAGTTGTCATTTGTGGTCTCCTACACATATATGAATCTAAATTAACGTATTGCTTCCAATCTTTATTACAATATGTATAAAGGCTTCAAATTTTATTTATTTTTGATGTTTTGTGGGTACTAGCAAATGATATCCCGGACAGAATCATGGTGAATTGAAGCTTTACTAGGTGTAATCACATTATCGCCTCAAATATTTCTCCAATTCAATGATTTTTTTCTATACATTTTTTCATTTCTTTTGCTTATGAATGCTTCATTCGTATTTCTATGTGGCTTTTTAGTTGATTTTATTGCTAATACCCTTGATGGTCGATTTTTTAGCGTATTACCAGGTAATTTGATCACATTTTACGTGAAATAACCAAAATATCATTTATTAGTTTTGAATAAGAAGATATAAACGGTTTTTCTTTTTGAATAAATGAGGGAATCAAACATGGATTTTCCAAATATAGGCAGAATTTTGTTATGTTATTTTTACAACAAAGCATATCACATACTAAAATCACATATTAAAACCTGCAACCACGACCTAAGTTTAACAATTGAGATATGCTTTATGTTCAGGGGCGTTATTCTTAGATTTGATAAAAAGTTTAATTCGCCTCTAATGGTAACGTTTTTTTTTTTTTTTTTTTTTTTTTTTTTTTTTTTTTTTTTTTCATAAAGTTTAGCTTACATTTTTTAAAAACCTTTTTGATTCTGGTATGGAAATTGTTTTTGTAGGTAACTGGAGCTCTAATGGTATATTATCTTATTTACTGATTTACTACTTTCATTTCATTTAGGTGTGAATTTATGCCTATGAAAACCTCAAATGTGTGGAATTTGGATTGAATACAAGAAATAGTTGGTCTTTTTTTTCTTAAGAAAGCAATGTACATTGAAAAACCTATACATAGTAGCTGGTCTTTTTTCTTAAAGCTTTCAGTTTCGGTATTTCTTCATGAAGGGTCAAATTAAGCTAATAGTTTCAAATACTTGAATTTTTAAGATTATTGGTAATCCGGTATTGTTACAGTCAACGGCATTTGATTTTTTTTTCTACGTTTTCTAATGATTCCTTATTTAGTCATTATACTTATATTCTGAATACGTCTTTTTCTTTTTTTTTTCATCCGTGTAGCCTTAAGAACCCAACATATGTGTTTTAAAAAGAGTAATAGATCCGAACTTACTTCTACTTTATTTCATTTTTTAAGCATCATACTTTCATACTCAACCAACTATAGCATCTTACTTCCATGACGAACGACTTATAAACGATGACACCATCTTTAACATAATATATTCCGTCTGTTTTCTTTGACATTGGTGGCAGATCCAAACCCCGCGGAGCGGCGTTTCTCATCTAGTTATAATTATAGATATCATTTAATATATATATATATATACACACACACACACACACACACAACACACACACACACACACACACACACATATATATATATATATATATATATATATATATATATATATATATATATATATATTATATATAAGGCATAAGTTTTACATCTCAATTCTAAATTAGCCCTAAACGGATTTTTTGTATCTAATTAGCCAATATGTATGTGTTGACTTTTGCCTCAAAATATGTTAGTCGGTTTCAGCCGGTTAGCCCTTTAGAAATAGGAGTTTTACTGTTAGAAACCCATCTTCCACTTCCTACTTCTACATTCTCCGACTTTTTCTTCCACGCATCAACTTCTTCATGGCTAGTTCATTTATAGGGTCTACAGGGTCAATGACTTCAGGATTTCAAAATGTTAATGTCAATTTCAGGAACAGAAACAACCCCATGTTCTTGTGTCATTGTGGTGTTGAGGCTAGCTTCTCAATTTCGTGGACGGACAAGAATCCTGGAAGAAAATTTAGGGGATGCACCAACTACAAGGTATGTTCTTCACTCTTTGATCCAGTATAAAGTTTTGTAATAGGACTAAGGGAAAATCTATCATATAAATGTGTAGGATCCTTCCAGGTATTGTAAGTTCCTCATATGGTTAGACCCACCTTTGCCTAGTGAAGATTACAAAAACCTTATGTACCAAATGCATTTAGCTCTTGTTGGTATGGCTGATGGAAATGCTCAGTTGGAACAGGTGAATGTGGATCAAAATAGGAGGTTGATGTTGATGATGAAGCTTATGTTCATCATGGTCATGCTATTTGCAGTGATGTTGGTAACAGAGACTGTATTGCTAGTGAAATTATAGGAAGTTAGGAAGGTAAGTTTAGTCTTTTGTGAAGTTCTTGGTTAGGTGAAATTGTATTAGATGCTTATTTTGGCACAGTTGTAATAGCATCTAAAAACATTTTGATGGTTGTAATATTGGTACCCTTGTAATACATAGTCCTACGGTACAATTAATATGAAAAGCATTAACCAGAAATTGACAATTTACTATCCATTACAAACTGACATTGAAATTTGAACTTACTACAAACCACAATCTTTATAAACATAATAGCCAAATACATACATGGTGGGTAAAAATCAGAACCAAACTCCAAATTTTACAACAATGTTTACAAGCCAAAAGATGATTTCCCAAAATGACAATGTTACTACAATTTACAGTCAAAAGATAACATATTGTCAACAAATTGGAAGCTTGTTATCAAAAGATGCTTTCAGAAAAAAAGGGCTATCAAAATATTTATGCCCAATTAACCCCCCATCCATAACAACATCAGTCCAATGTAAGTGCTTTCTCAGTTGTTGAACCACCTCCATCTGGATCATGAACTGCTTTATTCAACTTAATCTTGATAATTCTTTCTGATGGCTTCCTTTTTCTTACCAACGGATCTTGTATTTCTTGACTGGTCTCTTCATCAACTATACTCTCAACCAACCTCTCCTTCCTCTCTTTTTTCAACTGTGAATAAGAAATTAACATAAACATATTATCACATAATGTTCAAGATAATTGTGTTAACAATTAAATTTATAACTACACACCTTATTAAAAGCTTCATCAATTTCCCCATGATCATATCCAGATGCCTGCAGATCTTTAATAGTTTCAAAATCTTCATGGTCAAGCTTTTCATGGCAGGTAAGTACAGCTTCATCAACACTTGCCACATTTTGACTTATACTACCATGCACAACTCTTATTCTCCTTACATATTTGATCTTACCTCCCCTCCTTGCCATCATCTTCATTCTCTTCAAAGGAGAAATTGGCTGATCAATATCTATCATCTTACCTGCTTCTTTTGATGTACCCTCAACAGCTTTCATATTTCCCTCACTTGCTTCTTTTGATGTGCCCTCAACAGCTTTAAAACACTCTAATATGCCATTCTCTATAGCCTCACAAGCATATCCATGAGAGAAAAATGCCCTAGACCAAGAATATTGTTTGTTTGACATCAACCATTCATAGCCACTGGGAGTTATGTCTTTGATTTTCTTCATTGTTGCTATAAAGTTCCCCTCCACAGTACTTTTAGCAGCTTCCCAAAATAGGTTCTTGACCTCTAACCCAGTGTATTTCTTCCTGAAGTTTCCATAGATGTGCCTGACACATTGTCTATGTTCAACATATGGAAGTAGTTCTGTAACATCTTGTAGTAGACCCTGACATTGAATAAACAAAATTATTATAAATGTATAATAATTAAACAAATTTACAGTATAATTTACCTTGTGCTGATCAGAAATAACGACAAGACCCCTACCACAATCAAGGTCAAGATTAGCAACTAATAGCTCAATAAATGAAGTCTAATTATCTTTGTTCTCTACATCAATCACTTCCCATGCTATTGGATATACATGATTGTCTGCATCTCTTCCAACAGTAGTCAAAAGTTCTCCCTTGATCTGACCCTTTAGGAAACAACCATCCAAACCTATCACACGTCTGCAACCCCTATTCCAACCATCCTTAAAAGCCTTTAAGCACACATAAAACCTTTTGAAATAGTGCATGCCACTTGCATTAGAATCTACTACCACCTTACAAGTGCTCCCTGGGTTAGACTTGAGGATTTATGCAGCATAGTCCCATACCGTTGCATAATGTTCTTCTAACTTACATTCTATAGTCTCTCTTGCCTTTGTCCTAGCCCTGTGACATTGCCCCTTAGATACATTTACTGAAAACATCCTAAGTATATCTTCCTTCATCTTAGTTAATGTCATCTTTGGCTTCATAATAATATCCTTCAGGTAATGTTCGGCCAACCAGTTACAACTTACCAAAGTTCCAAAATTAAAATTTCTAGCACATAGATGTATGTCACATATATATTTAATCTGAAATGTTCATTCATTATACTTCCAAGCAGCATAAAATCTAAAGGGACAAGGGTCTTTTTTATATATTTTCCCACGCCTAGCAATCACTCTATGCCTATCACTCTTCATAAACCACAGCTGATATCCATTAGCTACTAATGCAAACCTGAGTTGAGAAGGGGACTCGTAACACTCTCCCACTACAGGCTTCATTTGTTTCCAATGTATGTCTAGATCATGAACCCTTTACTCTACACCTACTTCACAGTCATTTTGATCATCAATATAGTTATGTTATGGATCTTTAACACCAGCTTCCTGATCATCAAATCCCATTCCCTCAAGAGTCCTCCTTAGAATATTTTCATCACATAATATGTTAAGGAATGGTTCATCAGACAAGTTTCAGGTTGGTTTAAAGGTATCTGGTGAAAAATCCAGGAAAGAGAAATCTATGAGATCATCATTAGAGTCCTCGTCCCTTACATAAACCTTTTCAGGCCCTTTCACCTTTTTAGTTCCAGATGATGAAGCCATCTGTTCAAGATGAAAAATTATTCTTGTAAGTGACACTATGGAACTCGATTATGTAAGATAAGAACACACATACACATCAATTTCTTATTGGCACCACACGTACCTTTCTACTTCAGTGATTTTCAACTTCAAAATAGAAGCTTTTTTGCATGCAACAATGGTGTAAGAAACCCTTTTCAAACCCTTCTTCTTCCTGAGAGCAACTACATGAAACCCTTTTTTGATGCAAGACGTTTATGTGAAAGGTGATATTTGGTGGTGTACGAACGATCGAGTAATATAGGAGAGTGGTGAATGGCTGCGTACCTTGACATGTTGTTAACCGGCTGATAAAACGATTTTGAAATGGGCTCACAATTATTTAGGCTAATTAGACACAAAAAATCCATTTAGGGCTAATTTAGAATTGGGGTGTAAAACTTATGGCGTTTATGATATTAACCCTATACATATATATATATATATATATATATATATATATATATATATATATATATATATATATATATATATATATATATATATATATATATATATATATTCTTCCTAAGACCAACTACATGAAACCCTTTTTTGATGCAAGACGTTTATGTGAAAGGTGATATTTGGTGGTGTACGAACGATCGAGTAATATAGGAGAGTGGTGAACGGTTGCGTACCTTGACATGTTGTTAACCGGCTGATAAAACGATTTTGAAATGGGGTCACAATTATTTAGGCTAATTAGACACAAAAAAATCCATTTAGGGCTAATTTAGAATTGGGGTGTAAAACTTATGGCGTTTATGATATTAACCCTATACATACATACATACATATATATATATATATATATATATATATATATATATAATTATGGAAATCATTTAATATATATCTTTGTTTGATTACATAATAATTTAATTTTTACTAAATTCTGATTGGTGCATTGTAGCACACAATAGATGTGAGAAAAATTTGAACCTAGTTATCCCTTTCTTCCTCTCTCACTCTCTCTCTTTCTCTCTTTCTCTTTCTCTCTCTCTCTCTCTCTCTCTCTCTCCCTCTCTCTCTCTCTCTATATATATGTATATATATATATATATATATATATATATACACACACACATATATAGGGTTAGGTTCATGTGAGACGGCCTAATTTTGTGAGACCGTGAGACGCATTTATTTATTTATTTATTTATTTTTTAGTTAATTCAAGTTCTGAAGATAATATTTAAAAAAAGAATTTTTGGATTTTTTCCATTTATTTTGCATTTTAAAATTATTTTTTAGAATATGTCAGTGTAATATTCTATTAGAATATTTCACGTATTTTTTTTAAAAAAATGAAATTTATTTTTATTTTTATTTTTTTTAGTTAATTTAAGTTCCGAAAATAATATTAAAAAAAGAATTTTTAGATTTTTTCATTTATTATGCATTTTAAAATTATTTTTTAGAATATGCCAGTTTAATATTCTATTAGAATATTTCACTTATTTTTCAAAAAAAAAAAAACGGAATTTTCTTTTATTTTTTTAATTGTTTTTTATTTTTTTTAATTAATTCAAGTTCCGAAAATAATATTTAAAAAAAGAATTTTTGGATTTTTCCGTTTATTTTGCATTTTAAAATTACTTTTAGATTTGGTTTCACTGTCTCACAAAATTAGAATGATCTCAAATGAACCTGAACATATATATATATATATATATATATATATATATATATATATATATATATATATATATATATATATATATATATATCATATTTATATTGCTAAAACCGTCTTGATTCAAAAATAGTATGAGATCTAATTATTATTGTTTTATTTGTATTAATTTTATAGTTTTTGGATTAGTTTTGTAGATTTTTAGTTTTCTAATTTAATTGTGATGTGATAAGTTGTAACACCCATAAAATTCAAGGCAATTTAAAACTTTTCAAAACATTTAAAACTACAATTATTGTAAGGGTCGAAGTTGTATTGCAATGAGTAGAAGTCTGTTTAATGTACCCTTCGTATATTTTGTAATGTATTTTCTAAGCTGTCTTTGGTACGAATCTTAATGTCTATGCTTTAGTGTTTTTTGTATACTTTCACATCTCCTATAAATAGAAACTTTACTTAGAATTCGAGAAGATTCTTTTACAGAACCTGTCTATTTTACTCTCTGTAAAATTGTGGAAAGTATAATTGAGCTGAAACAATATTATATTTACTCCTCGTGTTCATTTCATATTGATATTACTCTGATTTGATTGTTTTAATTCGATTATCATTTCATCAATTGGTATCAGAGCAGGAATCATTACTGCAATCTGGTTTTAAGTTGAATCTTTTGTTTTTGAGTCGTAAAATTTGATTCAAAAGTTTCCGCACTGTTAGATTCAGAAAATCATCTCTGATCATCAGTTTTGATTTCATTCTGTATTTGATTTGCATAATCGAGTGTTTGATTTTGAGTTTCTATTTAGTTCATTCAATCATATTCAAATTTCTTCAAGTTTCTGAAAATTCTTATCCGTACGATAATGGCAAATTTCAACATGAACACAATGACTTCTTTCTCGCATCTGTTAGGATCTTCCACGAAAATTCCTATGTTGATTCCGGAGTATTATGACTAATGGGCTGATCGCATGGAGGATTATCTAAATGGTTTGTATAAAGAACTCTGGAATTGTATCTCAGGAACTGCTCAACCTCCATTGAATGTTCAAAACATCGGATCTTCAAATTCCACTACTGTTGTTGATGAACAATCCACATGTAACACCGTGATTTTCAAGGCAAAATTTTCATTTAATTAATCAAATTAATATTAAATCACTTGTTTAAAATCTCATACACATTTGAATTACAAAAACATAGTTCCATTTTCACTTAGTAGAAAACCAGGATCCTCCAGAATACAACTCTTTCTTTGGTGTGTACAATCGAGCCGGTGTCATCCCGTGTTACTGAAAGAACCTAAAACAACATACATAAAACACTGTAAGCACGAAGCTTAGCGAGTTCCCCAATATACACCTTACGCACATACGCCTTTCCAGGCCCTGACCTTCCGGTCCACTGCACAATGCCTTCCGGCCCATGAGATAATCGCCTTCCGGCCCATAACGTGTTGCCTTCCGGCCCATAGTACATTGCCTTCCGGCCCATAACATATTGCCTTCCGGCCCAAAAACATATACGGCACATAATACATTTACTCTAACACATAAAGCACATATATCATATATCATACCTGACCTTTCTGTCACATAACACTTTGCCTTCCGGCCCATATAAACATGCATATCACGCGTAGCAACTAACTTTCCATTTATAGCATATATACATAACACATAACATATTCGACCTTCCGGTCACACAATCAAACCCTTCCGGGTACAGTATAGTGAGAAGACTCACCTCGTGGATGCTGGAAGTTAGCAACTCCTGAAATCACTTGCACCTGATCCGCCGAGCTACAAGCTCCCTATAACAATATATCTCTTATTAATACTTTTATCTTCCACGTTAACTGACCCTAAGAAATCACACACAGGTCAACTCTGGTCAACGGTCATCTCGACTGGACTCGGCGAGTACCCTGGCGACTCGGCGAGTCTAGTCGTCCTCACAAATTCCTGGATGTTCCCTTTCTACTCGTCGAGTATCTCTCTTGACTCGACGAGTTCCTCGTGGAAGAATCGCGGGGCCACCCCGACTCCACTCGCCGAGTCTGAAGAACAACTCGACGAGTCCCAGCTATTCTTCAAGCTACTCGCCGAGTCTGCTCATCCGACTCGGCGAGTCCATGCCATGCAGTCGATCAAACTGCTTCCTAAGATCAGAATCGTCCCGACCAATCATAGGTCTGGTCCTCCTAAGCTGGTCCATCACAAAAGGCCTTCATTTAGGTGCTCATGCTACACCCCAAGACTCATAATTCCCATGTTAACCTAAGGCATAAGGATTTCAATCCAAAACCTTCACCAATTCCCGAAATGCACAGACCTGGGATCTTCTGGACCTCCAAGGGTCCCAACACAGGGTTACAATCGTTTGGGGGACAAGGGTAACCATTAATCTAATCACAAAAGGGTTCCTTAAACCCTAATCCATGCACACATTCACATAACAGAATATAATCCGGAATGTTACCTGAATAATGCCCTCTCTGTGTCCCCAAGCCTCAGAACATGATTCCCTTGTTGTTCCTTTAGCCAAAACCTTCCCCTTCTTGAACAATAACTTCTTCAAAATCACCAATAGCCTTCAATCCTTGCTCTAGATGCCCCCAACCGATTTAGGGTTCTTCTCAGCAGCTAAAAGGGAACAACGACGGCCAATGATCCCATTTATACGTCCCCAAACCTGAACGGCTAGGGTTTACGCTAAACAGCGCAGACTCGCCGAGTCCCTATCTGGACTCGTCGAGTCCAGTCGCGAACCCGCGACCAAATCTGCGATCCTACTCGGCGAGTCAGGCTCCAACTCGCCGAGTCCCCCCTTTAAAACACCCCAAAATGTGATTTAACAATACTTTGAGATTTCGGGCTGTTACAATTCTCCCCCACTAGAAACAGACTTCGCCCTCGAAGTCTCACTCTGAAAATAGTTCCGGATGCTGCTCCCGCATCTCACGTTCCGGCTCCCCAGTCACTTCCGATCTCTTCCGAGGTTACCACCGAACCAATACCAGAGGTACCTCCTTGTTCCTCAGAACCTTGATCTTCCGATCCCTGATGGCCACTGGCTTCTCAGCGTAACACAGGCTCGCATCCACCTAATTGTTCTTTAGTGGAACCACTGTTGACTCATCGGCTATACACTTCTTCAATTGCGACACATGAAAAGTGTCATGGATCCATCCCAATTCCGTTGGCAGCTCCAAACGATAGGCCACCCGTCCTACCTTCGCACCTTCACGAAAAGGCCCAACATATCGGGGCCCCAACTTGCCCCTCTTCCTGAATCGAATCACCCCTTTCCAAGGAGAGACCGTCAGAAGTACGAAGTCGCC